CATAGTAAAACCATTCATTCACTGCGGCGCTGTAAGGCCAGTCATACCCCTAGGTCTGGAAATGAATTAAACAGTTCCGGTGAGTGTTCCGTCTGATACCAAACAGAATACGGGCATATACATGTACCACTACAACGCACAGGGTCCGCACGCTTAGAAGCCCCTGAGTTCGAATCTAGATTGAGTCTTTTCTTCTCTGTCTGTAAAATTGTTTGTCACGCTGTTCGTTCCTGTCCGTAATTTCCCAACGGCCTTCGGTGGTTTTCAAAGGATAACTTGTATTATGAAACCTGCCTGTTAAGTCGAAAACACTATGGGTACCAACGGTTTATATCAATGGACTGGATAGGGTGAAAACTGCCCCTTCAGTTCGACACTTCTGACGTCGAAATGTATCAACTTGCCATGCACAAATGTACCTGGCAAGGACACTTTTTATGTCACAAACGCTTCGACTAAAACGAGCCTTAGTTTAGATATTTATAAACCAAGAGTTAATCACGAGAAAATAATTGCTATGAGTTCAGATTGAGAAAGGACATGATGCATGCGGAAACGACGAGGTTTTATTTCCTTTTATTTGTATTGCCTGTCTGTATTCAAGGTAAGCCTTATGACGTCGGTCCTGGATAACATGATGCTTGCAATTTCCGGCTTAGAATTCGATTCGAAGTGTCTTTCACGAAAATTCCCGTTCCCAAGACCATAAAGCCTTTCAATTTTACTGTCTGTCCAAGGGATACTGGCGGATTGAGTCTTCCGGGAGTCCGCCGATAGAGTTTGATAGGCCCACGTATGCATTTCTTTAATCGTTTCTTTATGAATCGCAACAGTGTGTTCAGTCTTGCTCCATTTTTAATATGCAAATGTTTTCAGAAACAGTGAAACGATAACAAAGGTTTCAGACACCACTTGGGTGAAAAAAATGACAGTTCCTGCATGTGATTATTCCTTGTTCCTGTGATTATTTTTTGTTTTGTTTGTGTAGGGGATCCATATGAGACTTAACGCAAACTTCGGAAATCGCACTTTACTCTTCATCGTTATCAACAACACGGACAGTGCAATCGCAGCTTTTGAATTCCCATTCATTTTTTAACCAGAACAGAAGTGACAAAATGCATGCTTTAAGAAACCAGTCTCGATTAAAACATATTTATTCCCGAACGTGAATGTCAGTACAACTTACATACGTGACTTCCTCCCCCATCCAAACAGCAGGGAAATTTTCTGTTGTCTCGACCGAGACGAAAAACCTTTCGCTATCGATTCCGTCATTCCCATCGACGAACCTCGGTAAATACTGTCCGTGCCGATTTTGCTTGGGCAAAATTACTTTTGCAAATTGGTGATAGCAAAGCCCGGTAATGGTGTTTAAGGTGCAAACACAAACGAGGGTACCGGCACAACGTCCGCACGCGACTGGCTTTAATGATATCTGTCGGGCTTGCAAATTAATTCCCGGGCAAAGTATTTGCCGACCGCTCCGTCTCTTCTTCTATCAGGTTTTGCTCATCGTTTTACGCTCCTTGGGGCCAAAAGACGGCAAGTTGTCCTGTGAGCTGAGAAGATGGGTTAAAACACAGGCAGACAGACCAGATTTGTTTTATTAAATTAAGTCCAAAATTAGCCAACACTTAGGAACAGCAGTTTTGTACCATGAAATTAAAACAAAGCTTTTCCCGCTTCAGCCGTTGACCGTTAGAAACATTTTGACACACTAACCCAATGAGGCCGTAACGATGTATGCATTACAGCCCCGTGGCACCAGTTACAATATAACTGAATTTCTGCTTACTTCACTTTTTTCGTGTTCTTTATATCGTTTTGTGTTGCCTTGTGTGGAATTGATGAAATCAGAGAAGAGGCGTCGTGTTTCCAGACGAGTTCCTACACTAAAGTAAAACGATGCAGTAACATAGCAATGAAAACAAGAGCCCACATCTGTCGGCCGGAGTACACTAGACAATTTATGTATATAAAAGTTCAATATACGATGTTTATAAAAAAGAAGATATAGAATAAGCCACAATTTTGCCTACAAGACCTAAGACATGAATATTACCTGAGACAGTATTTTATGCAAGGTTTATAAATGCATGGAAAAAAATCTGTCGTCCTTTGTATGGTTTATCTTTTTTGAAATTTCACTTCGCAAATATTAAACATTTTCCAGGCTATATTTTGACAACTGAGAGCCAAAGGTATGGCCGTTATGGAATCTCAGGAAGACAAAGTTGTCTACGATAGCAATGCAAGTGAGCCCAAGATTTGCTATTGGAAACTATTTTGTAGAAACTTTGCTTAGGGAAATTTCCAGCTGCCAGAAGTACGAAGGGCACAAAATGACCTGAAAGTGGCCGATTGCAAACTAGAAAAAAATGTTCGTCAAATGAGACACAAAGGTGTGACTTCACGGTGCAGCCTGCACTACAAGTTGAAATTGAACGGCTTTTAAATCCATTTGTAACCCTCTATTAGTGTTCATTTTCTCATGAGGTCCCTATGCTTGTTATGGAAATTTTGTCGTCTCATGTTTGTAGAGATTTTTTATCGCATTCGTGGTCATTCGTGTCATTTACGGCATAAGTTGCACGGCAACCTCTTTAATAACTCTGTGCACACCCTGCGTCTCCTACGTGCGAATCAAGCTTCCAGGAACGGCTGGAATCTTGCAAAGGAACATGCCCTGTCAATATTTGCAGACTGTTGGTGGATCTGTAAGAATGTGTATAATTACAGCGGCGCATCGACAGTGAGAAACTATAGGTCTGCGGAGTCGTTATGCATCGACAAGGCGTGCTATCTTTTATCAAAGAAACGGTATGCTGAAGTGTAAGAAGTAAATGATCAGGGAGAGCGTTTGAACTCCTTTTTCCCGAAATCATAATTTACATTTCTTCGTTTCTCTGCCGTATTTTGTAAAAATGTGTAAAGTGATGTCTTGTGTGAATTGATGGCTAGAACCTGACAAAAAGAGGTAAAAAAGACGAATACGGTAGATGTCCCGTAAAAAGCTTGCGGTGCTGAAAATCGGAAGTGGCTCTTTGACGGCGCACACAATGTGCCCAAATTTTGCCGATTTACGAGGACAGTGTGCAATACTGATGGCTGTTATAATCTAACATTCCGTCTGATAGTGCTATGTTTTCAAATAATACGAAAAGGCAGTGCTCATTCACGCCTTGGTTTAAGTTTTTGTCGGAGGTGCAACCGCAGTGCAAATTTAGGGAAAGAAAGTAAACAGCGCCGCCCTCCGAGCTGCAACAAAGGATGAATAGATATAAAGAAATCACGTACCGGTACAGAAATCTAAGGATGTAATTAAAACCAACTTAATGTAGGAGTGGGATTTTTTTCCCAAGTCCTCAGTGAAAAAGCTTTTGTGTTCAGTTTCTAATTATCTAATTTTTGTAGGGACGACAGTTGCACAGTTAAATTAAATGTCCACTGCACACACCGTAGGGCATTCAAAGCAAGACGTTTGCACGAACGAAGCAGAGCAGTCGCACTTTTTTAAAATGCCGTGTGTGTAGCTCGGGTCGGTGGACGTCAATATGTACTTGTCCATCACTTCATGTTGACAAATCCGTCACCTAAATAGTCAAGCTGCTTGTCCGTCCTCGAGTGTACAATGACGGCTCCGCTCTTGGAACGAGACGAGACCACATCTCTGGTAATAGTGTACTCAACATGTCAACAAAGGAAGCGAAGTGACAAGACATGGCCAAACATGCGACTGGATACGTTTAAAACGTTTCCACTCGAGAGTGGTTGTCGTTAGCTCCTTTTAAAACCATTGGAAAAGTTGGAATGTTAATGTATATATGTCAATCCCCTGCGAAGTTCACGTGACAATATAAAAGCTACGTTTTCCTGCCTGCCCAGGACTCTAAATTTATTTAGTTTTTAGTTTGGATTTTTTTCCCTGGTTAGTCAACTACTATGAGCGCATAATGTCAGGAAATGTCTGCCTCTGAGACACCGGCTGTGTTTAATAGCTCCATGGTTAAACACATCAGAAGGCCCAAGCATTGTAAATGGGCCACAGGTCCTAGCTGTGTGATAACAAATCATCATTCAGTGCATGCATAAACGCTTTAGGGTATTACGCTTGGTATGGGATGCCTACCTATACATCTTGCAGTAACAGCCGCTGAATGGCGTTATCAGTTACAGGCTAGCGATACCCGACGTCAAACAAGCCCGTGACCATGGACGACGCTATACCGTGGCAGCACAACGACCAAACCGTCGACACATCCTGGTTACAGGTGAGCGAAGAGCTATCATCACCAGGAGACTGATCATGTTGCTTCTGGAGATGGCCACCCTTGGGTCTCAAAGAGATCATCTCAGCGTCTGCGAACACTTTAACACCATTAGGATCGATCGGCAGAACATTTCACACCGTGGTGCAACACCCAGAAGCGAAGTGGCAACAACAGGAAAGCTAAGACCACCCGTGTCTTAGCAGCTTGGGGAGAAAAAAAAAAAAACAGTCTTAAGGCAAAAAAACTGGACAGCCGCCGAGAGGAAGCATGCGCGTATTTCTGCAAATCTATCTCTCTCAAAAAAAAATGCTACAGGACCTGCGGACGCCAAGATGCTAATTTTACAGTACAACTTCACACCTTGTAATATTTTTGGCACGATTCCGTGACAACGTTTTATTTACGGTTGATTGCCTTGCGCTAAAGCCTCCACCCATCCGACGGGTGGTCGGCGGATGCGAGCGTACTTCAGTCCAACAACCGAACTGCTCCAATGGGTGGGGGATTTCCGACCGTGACTGTCTGTTACTTTTCAATTATCTGCCGGGAGATACACATCCTCCGCAATAAATTTTGCTAATTATTCCAAGCTGTCTAAAAACCCCAGTCCGACGTGGAGATCAGCACGCGTACCGGTACATCCCTTCTCTTTATGCATTTCCTCGTTATTTTTTCCTCTGTAATTTTACTACAGTGGTGTAATAAAAGTCACATGCCACGAGCTTCTTGGCGGCTGGGGGGCGGGGCTACCCCTTTATTACACTGTAATGAATAATACAAGTAATTTACTATGAATCATGTTCATGTTCATTTTCAATTATAATGTCTCGGTTACTTCGACAATGTAACATGGAGCTGTTCGTATACAGCACACATTATTGTTGTTAAATTTTAGTGTACTTTAAATCAACATGACTAAGCCCACAAGCGAAATGAAAAAAACAATAATAATAATAAAGAAAAAACAACAAAAGCCGCACCGCCTACGATTTAGTTTATAAATTATGCATTGCCTTTGAAAATCCCATGTGTAAAGCGAATCAATATTAAAGCAAGGAATGCGCAAAGGTAACGGCGACGTGTCTGAACATGTATCGCGTGCAGGCTGGTCGTTAATAAATATCCCTCAAATAAAATAACTTAATTTGACTCTTTGCGATGACGTGATGTGATGAATCCAGTAACACGCACTCCTAACGTCAGCAATGTTCATATTTTTTGTTTTCTTTCGGTTTTAGGGTTTTTTTTGGGGGGGAGGCCTCAGAAGGAGATATTAAAAAAATCACTGAATATGTTGCTGGAGTGGCCTCCTTATATGCGACAGTTTCTCACCCTACAAGTCAAGAGCAAAATCAATTATGAAGCTTATGAAAGAATGGAGGGGGAGGAGACTGCGTGCGGTTATGAAGAATTATGACTTCCAGACGGCGGGTCTGCAAGACTGCAGCTAGACCCGGTTGGCTGACGGGGTCCCAGTGGATCGAACGGGGGGGGCGTGCCCAGGAGAAGGCGCCGCGGGTATCGAACGGCAACGCGAGTCCACGCGATCAAGGTCCGGTATCATAACGTGCGTCGTCACAGTCACAGATTGGGCGATTATTAAACAAGTCGGGCGAAACGTTCTCGTCACGCCTCGCTGGATAAGCTTCTTGCCAAGAAAAGGTCACCCTGATGAAAAGAATTATTACAATAGATTCTCAGTGAACACGCAATGTTGTAGGGATGCCGGGGGATATGAAAGGTCAAGTGAAAATATCGAATTGGAATGCATAATTAATCGCAGCGCTTGTTTGCGTGGAAAATAAAAGCAAAACAAATAAACAAACGTGATAAATTTGTGAACACCACACGTTTTGCAGTATAAAAATCGTTTTGTTCATCGATGACAGGAGCAAACACTGACTGCAGGGACTAAGACTGTCCATTTACAGTTTTAATTTTTGGTCATGTTGAGTCAATGTGCTCGTGGTCTGCAAGAATGAGGCGCGTCAGTACCATTACAGTGTTTCTACTCATGCAATATCATTCCTGCCCATTATAACTGAGCGCTTTATAATCTCATCAACGAGTATCATACCAGACAGGGTTAGTCCTACAGCACTCTACCTTTTCCTAGCATTTTCACGTGGAATTGTGAAGGGAGTGGTTTACTTCGGGGGACTAAAATTAGATTTTACCGCCAGGAAAAGAGGAAGTGGCGCAAACAAAGGCACACAAAGGCACTTATTGAATGAGTGCAACATGCACCTCCAGTGAAGAACGTTCAATCGAAAGAACGTCCCGGTTGAAAACATAGGCGTCCGAACGAAAGACTTGAAGTATTACGCTGAACGTTACAAGCTCCTCTGTCTCAGTGCACATGTAGTGCCATTGCATTCGGAAAATCAGGAATGGGCTCGACAACCTGACCTCCTGCTGTCCTTTTCAAGCCTTAATTTTCGTGCGAGAAGCTGCTCACAGACGCACTGCCTGCACTCAGTGTTTCAAGTACTCTCCGTCTTCAGATGCACAGGTGAACCATAAACGCCAACACTGGCTGTTATGTCCTTTCGCTTAACGACGGTGGAAAAAACCTAAATACACAAACCGCGGAAATGGCTTCGAAACAACGCCGTGGAGGTGACGGATATGAGCACAGAAATATTGAAGTCAACGCTGAACTTTGTTCAGTTTACGAGCGGCAGCTGACTGCAATAACGTGGACTGGCCCGTTAATGAGTAACGCTGAAGGCATAAATTCAAGGCGACAAGTACACAAAATCGCCTAAACTTGTTCGGAAGTAAGAGCCAACCCAAATGCCAGGGAAGAATTCATGCATAGCAACACCATACCCGCGCTACTACTGAACTACATTGTGTTGACACATAACGCGCATATGAAGCCCGTTTTGTTATGGTGTTGGCACTAACAAGAGCAAAAGCTGGCGAATGACACTATCAATATTTTGGTAGGAAAGAAACATATTTATGGTGCAATAACTTCACCCAACGCCGAGTCGGCATTGTAATCAGATTGCTGTTTTTAAAGCGACGCCAGGCGAAGAATACACGAAATGTCAAGTAATTCAGCTGAGAGATAATTTAATCTGCTGAGCTATATTTGGAGATAATTTGCATAATCATCGATGACAACGTGTCTCCTTATCACGTATAAAGAGGATACGTAGCTCATTAGCAGTTCTGCTGTACACAGTCAAGACTAAAGGAATTCTTTAAGCCAAAGCACGAACCTAGGCGACCAATGACCACAAAATGTGGTGAAAGTCGATTCTTTTAAAACTGTGATAGTGGTATTTTTTGATTCAGCAGCAAAGTAGGTTTCCAATGGTGTCTAACGCCTCGGTAAAATAGTGACAATGTGACATTACTCCAGCGGCTTTGTGTCTTCGTTTCCCACATTGTTTAAACATTTCTTACCAAACATGAATGAATGAATGGTAAGAATGGTAAGAAACTGACTTTTTAAATGTTGTTTCAGCTAAAATTTGGAAATGAATAGAAAGGTAACACTTTCCTAATACAAACAAAACCCGAAAAATTGGCTTTCCCTTCAAGTTTTGACTTTGGATTGTCGCAGTGTGCAATTCTCAACTCATTTGTTGTGACTGGTCTCATATGTCATCGTGTGATTTGGTCATATAAGTCATCTACGAGATTTGAGTTCATTTGATCCAGATTATCTCACCTAATGTGTAAGTTGGATAAGGCACCAACCTGTTTGAACCGACATTAAAGTCAGTGTCTTTATTTTGTTTCAACGCCTGTCAGACTGGGAACCATACATAACTAAAAGAGCCACAGTAATATGCAGTTACATGTAATTGCACAGAATGATTGTTATAGCAAAGGAAAAATAAAGAGACAAACAAATAAATATACAAAGAAACAAACTGCCAACCAAAAACAATGCCTAGCAACCCAGGATAGAACCAAAAAATCAAATCCGTGCGTAGAATTCGCTATCAATTAAGTTCAGGTTGGCGTTTTTCCTTTACGCACTAACTAGAAGCCTTGGCACGCTCTCGTTGAGTGACAGGTAAATGCTAAAAACAAATTTTGAAAGATTTTTCATCAGAACACCATATCAGTTTCACACAGCCTTCTGTGCCAGAACGCACCAAAAATGGTCTTCAAAGCACACCCAAAACCAGCTGGTATATTTACAGAACTTTTTTGTTGGACAAAATTGTTTTCCAAGAATCAGTGCAGCTCCATTAGAAAGCCAGGGTATGGACGTGGCTACATTCATTGCTTTTTGTTGGTTTATTTTATTACTACCATACGTTTACTAGTTTAAACTAGTTGAAGAAGATAAGGATTCATGCGACATAGTTTACCTTATAATATATATTAACTATTGCAAAACGATAAATTTACGGCGCTTTATTGGAAGAGCTGGGGCTTTAATATTCAGAAAAAAATTTTAAATCCACGTTTCAAAAATACATCATGTGTCAGTGAGTTGATTGACGGCCATTGGGTTGGATAAAACTGAACAGACTGGCTATTATGTCCAATAATAGCGGTGCTTTTAGGTGCCAAGTTTCCGACAAAGTTCTTTATTTAAAGACGCTGAGTCTCTCTGGCGCTCTGGGCTAGAATGGCTATTTTGTTAAATTCGAATCATACTCATATAAACTTGACTAACCCTGTTCAGACCAATGATCCCTGGTTATTGCACTGCAGCTCTTCATTGCATCTCGTCAAGGCTGTTGCCGGCCTGTTTCGACCTCTGTCTGCCTGTGGGTTATGGTCGTACGAGTTGGAACGTAACCCGCCCCTCACATGAAGAGGTGTGCAGGTTTTCGGAATACAGAACAGTATGCAGGCGATCAGGCCGGCACGGATCCGGGGGTGGGTGACAGCGTACAGGAACGGGTTGATGGCACTATTTGCCCACAGGAGGCAGACAAAAGCATTCATGAGGTCGTTATTTATTGTCTCATTCAGTGCAATCAGTACCACAAGCTTATAGACGTACCAGGGTAACCAGCAGATCAGGAACACCCCTACGATGAGGGCAAGGGTGATGGCCGCCTTTCGATGCTTCCGGTATTCGCTGCTCCCCCTGCTTTGGGGAGCTACGTTACGGGCCACAGTGCTGCCATTGAGTCTGAAGGACCGGCCCATATGGAAGCCCGAGGACCGCCGACGGATGTTGTTGTACACAATGACATTGAAAACGGACAGACAGATGAAGGGGATGACGAACGAGAAGACAGCGGTGGTCAGCTTGTAGGCAAAGTGGTACAGGATGGCGAAGTCGCAGTCTTGGCCGTAATCCACCCAGGGCTCCAAGACGATATCGGAGCAAAGGATGGGAATGGAGTTGAGACTGAAAGAGAAGACCCAGGAGGCTACAACCAGGATGTGAGTTAACCTGAGTGTGATGTACCTTCTATACTGCAGACCTTTGGACACCAGCATGAACCGATCGAAACTGATCAGGACGATGGCCAGCGTTGACTGTGTCGTCGCTGTGTAATCGATGATGCTCCACAATTTGCAAGCCACTTCGCCCGCTACCCACACCACCGTGTGCCGCCAGATATTGAAGAAGGGGATTGAAATTAAGCCGATCAAGAGGTCAGATACGGAGAGGTTCAAGATGAACAAGTTGGCCGGCTTGAGCCGCAACTCCCTGTCTCGTATGAAGGCCAATACCACCAGGACGTTGCCCACGACTGTCACCGAGCAGATGAGCCAAAGTATAACGGAGATCAAGTACTCCACCCCTGGCGATTGCTCGCTCTCGTACCATCCCCCGTTCTCGGCGTTTTCCCCTTGCAGCCAGTTGGAATTGTCCACGGTCGTCAGTGGCCAAGGAATTGCTGCCGGCGAAGCGTTCATTGCCGATCTGCCCCAGCGTGGTGTAACCATCAACGCGCTGTTCATTGCGACGTTCCGACCTCAAATGACAGCGCATCACTTTCTCGCGCCTTTTTAAAACCTGGATCCGCTGGCCGGTCGCGGTCACAAGAGCGTGGCGTTAATCAACGGAAGAGGGCGGTCTGTTTTAATCATCATCCCCATCTTGCCGGATGACTTCTGTCATCTGCTAATTTCTTTGCCTTCTTTATTATAATATGATACGTAACATGTCGTACACTAACCGACAAGCCGCGTCAGCAAAAACCGACCAATAAAAGGACGGTGCAAGGTTTGTTACCAGGACGTGTTTACCTTATTACTGTCTGCCAATTTTCTTAGATATTCACCTACGCTCTAGTACTTATTTGCAATTAGTAATACATATAGGCAACATCAAACACTTATGCTCGCTCTCTGAAGACATCAATTAAAGTATCCTGATGACAGCCTGCATTGTGTTCCATTATGCCATCGACTGAAGGCAAATGGAAATACAGCACTGATATTTGATTCGAACACGTCAGGTCGTCAGCGCTGGCTCCTAGACTTTATTTTTTTCCCCACAACTCAAAAACGCTTTCATAATGTCTACCCTGTTCAAAAGGTCACCTCTTCCACAAGAAATATACTTTTCTGATTATTTTACTAGGCTACCGGACAACAATGCCCAAAGCATGGGGCTGAGTGTATGGGGGAAGTAAACACAAGCTCATTCCCAGTGCAAAAAAGACAGATTTTACCACGGAATTCAATACTCAGAGACCCGTTCGTTACGAAATTATGATGGACTAAGTGTGTCAGGGAATACAAACAGTCGGGGTCGGGGAGGGAGATCTTCAATGCCAGGAGACTCGTTGAAAGAAATCTGAAGCTGGGTCACACCATTACAGCATCGCACGCAGCGTGATAGACGTCCAGTCTCACATCGAGTTCTCTATTTGAGCAGCTGGCTCCCTTGTGTACACTGGTAACCCCATCTATGTGAACAAGAACTGATTTCTCCCCTGTCAACTACTGTATATCTCGAATGCTGGACGCTGAGATTTCAGGGTTCAGATATTATCGCAGGTTCATTTTCTTTTTACGTTTCTTATCTGTAAAATTTAAATTTAACCTTACATTTCGCTTTTAAGGGAGTTCCATATTGAAGTGTAGTGAGTCGGACATTGGCGCTGCATCAAATTAATGAAGCCCACGTCTTCTTTCTTACATGTGGGTTGAAATCGGAGTATACAGTGGGAGAAGCCATATATGGCTTTAAATAAGATTTGCCAGGTTTTTCTTAATCGAAAACAAAAATAACAATGTAATATTTGAAAGAAACAAATCCTCTGAAAGACTGAAAATGAATAAAAATAGGTCTCATATTAACACAAACGAGGCTTCTTGCAACCTTGTTTGCCCTTCCCAAAATGTTTTTTAATTACGTAATTAGGAAAAATTGGATCCCGAGTGTATCAAATCTGCTCTACGCAAGGTTAATCAGCTTATTACATACAGTGATATTCATTGCAACCTTATATCACACGATGCACAATAACCACTTCCTTTGGGGCTACTTAAAAGCAAATGAAAATATAACTTTCTACTGACACCGCCGGTGTAGGCAGCTTCACTCGTGTAGCTTTAAATGGCATAGGTTTTTTTGTTATTAACAATCGAGGAACTGAGCAGAGGAAAGGTTGTATCATCACCGTGTATGCCACAGCGGTGGGTGGTGCTGCATTGCCACTCGACGGTATGCTTATCTGTACTGTGTCTGCACTAAGTGGAAAATACTCTTTTTCAACAGTGTTTATTGATGCATGCGTTGACCTGACGCTTTGACTGTGTATTCGAGAGGTTTGTCGAAATCAAAAGCACAAGTACAGGAACGTAGAAACTAAGTCTTAAGAAGACAGTCACCAATATTCCCCCTTTCAAAGATGCAAGAGAAAAGTGTAGCTGACACTTTGTGTACATATACACACAAGAAGTTGGTCATACTAAGACCAAAAGAAATCTTTGAATTAAATTGAATTAAATATGCTAACACACCCACAAGCATGATAATGACGAGCTTATGCAGTTTTTTCAGGAGTATCAGGTTGGTGATGTGGGCCCTGATTCGACGGGTGGTCAAAGAGGGTTGAGAATGTGAGGAAAGGGAAAGTGACAATTATTTCATTCTTTTTCAAGGCACCCATGCATGCCTTCTTTTAAGAAAAGACATACCTCTCCCCGTCTCTGCACCCTTACATAAACAGGTTCCTTTGACACTCTACCTGTGCAGCTCAATTTGCTCTTTGGAGACGTGTGCTGGTCCTCAACCGAAACGCATTAACGTCAACCACCGCCGGACAAGGGGGTCTGGCGATCCTGTAGGTGCGGGATGACCTCGTCTGGAGGGCCGGCGGCAGCTTGCTTCAGCTTTCCTTAATCACCATCTTGCCGGGTAATCTTGGTCATGTTCGTCTCCCCTAGGTTGTATTCCGTGGTTCGCTGCTGTCGGGCACGTCGGGCAAACCTTCTCGGCAAGGGCTTACGTAGAACGTGGAGCATCCCCGAGCGAATACGCGGGTTGGTGACAGCGTAGAGCACTGGATTAACGGCACTGTTGGACCAGAGCAAGTACGCCAAGGCATCAGTCGCCAACACGGGGTTGTCCTGCGTCAAGTAGGACAGCAAAACCAGTTGCTGAATCCAGTACGGCACCCAACACACTAGAAACACGCCAACAATCAAAGCAAGGGTGACAGCTGCTTTGCGATGTTTCCTATAGTCACTCGTACTGCGTCCCTGGCTACCGCGCTTGCTACTATTAAAAGTCCTGGAACGAGTACTGTGGAACCGTCTGGACCTCTGGCGGATGTTGTTGTACACAGTGAGATTGAAAAACACAACCAGTATTCCCGGTGCGATAAAGGACAGTATCGACGTGGCAAGGTGGTAGGGAAACTCGTACATGACGGCCAGGTCACAGTCGTAGTTATATTCTACCCAGCGGATGAAGAGTCCATCCGACAGCAGGATGGGCACCGCGTTGATAGTCAAGGCGCACAGCCACGTCACAACAATAAGGACACAGGTGATGGGAATGGTGATGTACTGTTTGTACTTCAGACCCGTGGAGACCAGCATGAAGCGATCAAAGCTGATCAGTGCGATGGCAAAGGCCGACTGGGTGGTGGACGAGAAGTCGATGATGAACCAAGCCTTGCACATGATCTCGCCAAAGATCCACTGACCCCTTAGCCGCCAAATGTTCTGGAACATCATGGAGACGAGCCCCACAAGCAGGTCGCAGGCGGACAGGTTCAAAATGAAAATATTGGCGGGCTTCAGGAGAAGCTCCTTGTCCCTTGTGATGACAACAATGACTAAGACATTGCCAAATACTGTCAGTGCCAACAGTAACCACAGGATGAAGTTGATCAGGTTTTCCACTGCGTTCGTTTCGAAAGAATCTGACCATCCGGAGTAGTTGGACAGCAGTGTTGGCCCGTACGATAGGTTGAATTCGTACCCTGATTCGTTGGCCAGGGCAATGCGTTGGCAACCAGAAGCTTCCTCCGTGGCGTTGCACCCCATGGTCACTGCCATTTCCCGCTGTGCAAGCTGAGTGGAGTAGCGACGTATTCAGTGTGATGGGGCCGTTTGAGCTACCGTACGTCTTTATACAGCAACGACGGGGTGCGTGCTAGACGGAAGAGGGCGTCCCGAGGCGCTATCATGGGCATTAGCGAATAGAGCAGTGAGCGCCTGGCAGCCAATAGAACGGCCGACTGACTGATTGATAGACAGGTTGCAGCGGTGGGGGGGGTATCCTGACACGAGCGTAAAAGAGTCGGGAGTGATGATAGCTCGCAAATAGAAGTGACTGGTGCGTGCAACGAGTTACCCTGCTAACATTGGGACCCTTTCCAGCTGGGATGGTTGCGAGGTTGGACGTGACTCGGAAAATGCTGCTGGAAATTGCACGTGTAGGTCAAAAGTGGCCCCTGTGTGAGCTGGAAGTGCGCATATGTCCACATGCTTCGGGATTTTGTTTCATTAAGCGGTTAATCAACCGTCCTCTTAGTGGAGAGTTGGAAAACTAATGTTGCAGCGACAGGGTACAGATGCTGCTGCAATGTTCTTTCACGAGTCAAGCATCCTTAGTCTTTCAATTCAATGTAAATCGAGATAATATTTTGTAGAGATGATACGAATTTGAAATTATGTTACTACATTCATTTAAATTCAGTACCACACATGTGCAATATGTTTTGAAACTAATACTAACATCAAGTGTACACGATATCTCAACGACGCCAGTAGATTTCTTGCTGATAACTCGTGGGCCTTCCTTTTTGGTAATTAACTATCAGTAGAGATTGCTGAAAGGAATATGTTGACTGCACACAGGATTCTGACCAACTTATTCTAATTACAAATTTTCTGTCATTGTAGAGAATTGAAACATTTCCAGTGTCTTTACCGTGTCTATCCTTTATACAACCTTATACCAACGATAAACATTGTACGCCTGCGTTCAAGTTTATCCTTAAGTTGTCAGAGGAAATATTCTACTTCATACACCCCATACGGAAACTGATTTCGCACTTATGTAATATCCATGGAAATGTGCAGTGTGATTGAAGAATTGTTTTCTCTGCGTGCATTGTTAATGCCATTTAGTGTCATCAAATCTGTCGTATTCTCTGTTAATCTCTGAAATATTTCTAAAACCTTCATGTCTTTTACGGCGCGATAAAATTATTTCTAATAAGTGTCTTTTTACTACAAGCTTGTGTATCAGATATTATTTTGGTTTGCTCGAAAACTTGAAAAGTTTTGTATGTTTTTGACCAAACAATCCAATTTCTGACTGGCGTCAGCTTACAGCAGACATGCTGTTTATGGCTCACTTAATAAATCGAATCTCAGTGTTAATTTTGTTTCATCGATTAAACAATCATTGATTAATATAAAGAAAAGAAAGGGTCAATTTTAAAGACTTGGACTCTTACAGCAATGAATTGTTTTGCCAATGTTCTTTTCCTCCCCTCGTATAAACGTGAGTGGCTTTTTTTCATTCTTGTTTTTTTTTTTGCTTGAGTTGTGCCCTAATTTGTCAGTTAACTGTTCCCTGAGTTGTTTGCTATACAATTGTCATTGCTAATACTGCGTACCTAAATCACCTACGCACACTTTCATGCGTCGGTTTGCTCAAGAGTACATACTTCAGAGTATTCAGAGACCAATAATATTTCAAATGAGCCGAAACTGTCACTAAATTAAAATCTCTGGCCCATCCTCGGCCAGGCTATCTATTTAGGAATTTGGCGCTGGGGGAAGCTCGACCAGATAAACATTTTATTAATTTTCAACAACTCTAAAATGTTGGAGCCTCGGCAAGGTTTATTTTCATCGACTGCTCGGTGCTGATGTGCGGATTTAATCACCGCCATCTGCTCTTGGAGATGCCAGGAATACGTGTTGCCGACGAGATAATTAATTTAAGACAAAATCCCTGAGGATTTCGACGGGTACCAGTAGTAGCTGAGCCTCCGGCTGTAAACCAAAGCAACGTCCCGGGGTATTACTTAAGCACGAAGCCTTACGCCGGTTAACTAGAGGGTAAAAGTGCGCTTCAGTCCGCTGGTTGCTGGATTGTTCACAAACAAGCTTAGCCTTATTGCATGTCTGGTGGCAGATACTCAGACTCATGCATCCATATCCACCCCCAGTTTTACCGGTAAAGCCTATAGATTGAGTGTTTTTGGTATTTGGCAAAACATCCCTCAAGGGGATAACTATATAAATCACATTTTGCTCTAGCCGCCACTTTTCGAAGCTTCAGTATTTCACACTGGTTTCTGTGCTCTGCCCTTCCCTTCAACAGGAAATCCGGTGGGGACTCTGAAGCAGCAAGCTAACCCTTCCCTTTGGTGGAACTGCCACTGCCCATGAAATGCGACCCCTCTACCCATTCAGAGTTGTGAATGAGAGAGTTCAGGCACCTACCGAAAATATACGATGTACCAAAACACATTATGCTGCGATGGCTGTGTAGAGTCCAATGAAAAGGGTTTGTTGGTGAGGGGCTTTTTTACCTCCCTCTTCTTCGTTGCGGTTTCTTTTGTGTCCAGTCGAGGCAGCAGGCACATTTCCTTGCAATAAAGTCACAGGTTTTGGGTGGCACTGGACGGTGTATGTCATATCCGCGCCATCATATCGCATTTCTACTCCCAATAAAAAAAATATGAAACCCTGCACGCTTCCCGGGCCGTTAGAGCTGTGCCCTGGGCTAAACGGGACTGCGCGCCTTTCAAAAAGTTTACAGCTCCGTTTCAGCCGGTAATTTCCCCCGCCACCTTCAATTTGTCTGTGATTATTTTCGTAGGCGGTGTTAAGTACACCGATCGAAGTGCGGGAGTCAAGAGCGAATTCGAGATGTTTACCTGGGTCCTAGGGCGTGATGCGTTAAGAAATCAATTCCAACCATGCTTTTCTCCGGATGATATTGGATTAAGACATTAAATGGAAGGGAGAGATAAAACAGCCATAACTACAAGTTTGCCTCTTTAAAAAAAATCCCTGCGACCGAGGTTGCATGGATGTGCAATTACAATGTAAATTGGCTGGCACGTCATATAAAACTAATGTTATTACTATGAGCACTTGAAACCGACCGCATTTAAGTCCAACAAATATGTGCACATCAGATACCGTATCCTCTGACACATTTCATAAGTTTTGGGGGATTGCACGAGCTGCCTTTACCGGAATAATGTACACTATATTGGTTAAAATTCGTACTGACTATGTGACGTAGGGCCTTACCCTTTTAGTTGGGCATGCTTCAGGAGTCAGTTGGTTTTCCGTGGAACGAACTCATCAGTGCTTGAAAGTGTTGCATCTTGAAGACAAATATTTGCAGTTGAAAGAAAAGCCTAACACCAACCATGCCCAACTTGATCTTTGAACTTGATTTGGAGCCTGTCGTACAAAATAAGGGGAAAAATGCTTCATGCGTTTGTAGTCATTAAACGCTCCCAAGGAGTGCTATAGAAAGCGTCTCTTTCAGTGTAGAGCACCTTGGGTAGCTGGTAATGTTGATGTCAGCATAGTGTTCATGGTTTTTCAGTGTTTCGTGGAGTGACAGGTAAGTCAAAATGCCTTTGCTAATATCCTTGTGGTATTGTAGCGTAGACGGACTGGAAAGATTAACCAGAAGATGACAATGCTTTCAATACTAAAATTGATAACATATGTCTTAGACATTGTTAACAATTAAAATGATTACCTTTTCACAGCCGCTGAGATTGTAGGCAAACCAGTTAGAAAAAGTGAGTGGTAAAGTGAGTGGTACGTAAAGAACAGAAAACCAGAGGCTGAGACTGAAAAACGAGAGTAAAGGCAATTACTTCACTTTAGTAAAACTGTAGATAATGTATATCTTCATGTTCTTTCCAAATCTACGGGTGCGGAAGGCCACGCCCTCCACAGTGGATGTGCTCTTCCCGAACTCACGTGCTAGACTAAGCTTTAAATTTCTGCCAACCATGGTTATAAACTGGACGTTCTAGGCCCACACATAACAAAAGGCTCTGTAAATTTGACACTTTTTTAACTTAAAACTCCTTACATTCCCTACTTAATGAAGTGCGTGTAATTTAAAGAACAAAAAAGGCATGTACTTGAAAGAAAAAGAGTTGGTGGAGGCTGGACGCGTCCTTTTCCTTCTCAAAGCAGGAAAATGGCAGGAGTGTGTCATTTGTTAAAAGGCCACCTTAATGGACGAGGACCGTGAACTGGTCACGAATTTCTGCAAGTTGACCGAATAAAGCTTCTGGAGTGGCTCGCTTGCTACTTCACTCGAGACCGTCACCCATGCCGAAAGCAATGGTAGCCGCTAACTTTTTGGAACACTCAGAAGAATGGTTGGCATAAACACAATGACGAATAGAATTCACTCTACTCAGGAGCGTCTACAGACAAGTGGTTAATGTTCAACTTATGCGGAAGGAGCCAAGGCATGCTGACATTCCATGAAGAAGTGAAGTAGGGACAATTGCGAGAAAAATCTTGTTGCAATTCTCGTATCCTTTCCTAGACAATGTAGTTTCCTTTTCTTTCCCTTCCCCTTTTTCTTTTCCCCCCAAGAGCATGACGCCAATGAGTCTAGTGCATGAGTTGTCTCTTGGGGTGGAGATGGAGACGGTTAGCTGGAGAGCTGCTAAAGGGCCGATTTACCGACTTTCCAGTTGGCTGACACGCTGGTTAATTGCTCGGTTCGGCAGTCTTGCTGGCTGGTCGGCCTGACCTTCGTGCAGAACCGGTTATACGTGACTGTGCGCGAAAATTCGATCATTTAACTGATTGATGTTTGTTAAATGACAACAAAGTTTGTTCTGTCTTCTCTCTTTCTTTTTCTATTGAAAATAGTGTTACCACGAAAAGCATAGCCACCCCACCATAAAAAACACCTTTTGCTACGTCAACAAATGTGAACCATGGGATCTTCCTGTCTTCTCCATTTACTCATCTCTCTTGTTTTTCTACCTCTTTTTCTCCCCAAGATGTTGCCCAATTGCTTCCGTAGAAAACCAAAACTGCATGCGTGAATCGAAGTAACAAACCTAATTTGTCAATGCACAATCTCACTGCAGTGTCAATACTGGCGAAGAACAGCGGAACAAACACCGGGGCCGAGGCCT